GGGGCCGGCGCCTCTCCAACCATGTACATGGTTTTGCCCCTGTCCTGTGTTGAAACCCGGTAAGGTTACCTGCAGACGAGAGAGTCGAGCATTAGCCTTATCGAGTAGGATTGAGTTTTTTTTTTTAGCTGCTCGAGCTCGAGCTCGTCTAGCTCGACTCGAAATCAAAATGTTCGAGTTCGACGGCTCGAAAGTTTTTAGTGGAAAGGTAATATTTCGATTAAGCATTTATGCAAATATATATAATAAGGGGTATATTAGTAATCTAATGTGTATCCCGAGCCGCTCGACAAGGCAAAATATGGGCTCGAGCTCGACTGAGCCGCCCGACTCGTTTGCAACCCTAAACCCGGGTTGGTTTAGTTAACAAATTCATGTTTCTGTTTTAATTGCAATTTTTTTTTTTAGTGTGTTTTGACGATTTAATCCAATCTTTCTATATATATATATATAAAATAAGAATAAGGTTAATTCTTTTTTATACATTATTTTCCGCCAAAAACATTAATTACATATTATAGAATAAATCATTAATGCATAGTTTCTATATAACTCGACTTTTCAGTTTATGTTTGTTTTAAACAATTCTCAATATTTTTATTTACGTTGATAATTGTTTGGTATACAAAGATTATGTAAATAATTAGGCAGCCGATTTTGGAATTCTCGTTTATGTAGGATACTTTTTTTTAACAGATTTGTTAGAATCATTTATTTGATTTAACATATATGTTATATCAGTTTCTCGCTTTGGATTTGGATTGTTCATTGTGTATGACATTGGGATTCTCATTATTAATCGTAAGTTCCTTTTCCTCAATTGCTTTGTTAGTGATGATGGCTTGGGTTTATATGAATGTTGATGTTGAATTCCATATGAGTAGCTAAATCTATTCGCTAGGGATAGGGGATGATTAACTAGGTTCGTTTAATGATTGCTTGCTTTTGATTGTTCATGTCTATTCGAGTTGTGCAAATTCTAGGGTTAGTTGACTGATCACCATTATAGCCTAGCTAATCAACGTGTAGAACCGAAAGGAGAGACGTTGGTCGATTTAAGCTCGTTTAAGATAGACTTGTTCGGAGACGTATTGTCTATGTGTTGTTGGAACTAATAGTTTATCGTTTACATTCACTCTCTTGTTACGAAGAGTTATTGAGAGTGAACCTCTGAACGAGAAACAATTCAATTCCCTTAACCGAGCAATTGATTACCCAATAATTGTGTTAGAACTGAAAGCAATTATCCCCAATTCCCGAGCTCTTTAATCATTGAGTTAATTCGTCTTGCTATTTAAATTGCTTTTCATTAGTTTTAAATCCTTAGTTGATAATTGAAACCTGAAAATTATTGAGTAGAGTGTTTAGGATCTTGTCTTTTCTTTTTTGGTGATCGAATAAACGTATAATTAAATTCGGCTAACCTTCCTTGCGATACGACCCGGGGAACAAATCTTTTTATTCGGTACTGGGTAAAAATACAAATAGATTGTTACAACAAATTTAGCGCCGTTGCCGGGTTCTATCAAATGAAATTGGTACAATATGATACCTTATAAAATACATCTACAATATGAAATAGTATTAAAACATTAGTGCTTCTAAAAGAGACTATAAATATTCAGTGTATTTATGGATGTTCCAAATTTTGGTACTTTTGAATTGAAAATAAAATAAAATTCATTAGAGTCAAACATCAAAGCTTAAAAAATTTCCACATAGTATCTCGAACACTACGAGCTTGACACTTAGGCTCAACACATTCGAGAATTATATATAAGAGGATAGATTGTTTACTTATGAATTTTCCACCATAATTTGAGTTAGGGAAAATTACACTTTGCCCACCAAACTATGCACTTTTTTACACTTTGCCCACCAAACTTTGTTTTGTGCCACTTAACCAGGCAAAACTTCGTGAAATGTTGCACTTCACCTGTTTCCGGTCACCGGCGGCCATTCTCAGGGGCTTTTCTGTCTTTTCAATATGGACAAAATTCCCAAATCCCAATTGGGGTTCAATTAAACGCGAAAGAAAGAAATTGGGGCAATGATTGAAAGAAAAGACCCTAGTTTTGTTCAAATCGTGCCAAAATTATGAAAAAAAAAAAAAATAAAAAGAGAAGAACAAACCAAACAAAACTGATTGAAAAGCTATATTTTCTTCAAATCATTAGTAATGGGTTGGCAAATTCGTGAGAAAAACAATTCATCCAGTACGAATGGCCCGTCATATGGTTTTATTTTGTGTTTTTTGCTGACAAAATATGTTAATTCATATTTGCAGGCTGCATACCGCCTTCCCGGGTTGCTGTCCGTCCAAGATGTGATCATCACCGTCTTCTTACTGCACTTGCAATACTCATCTAAAGTGACCTAAGATGTTTGCTTCCAAATAGCCTCTTCCGCCATTTCTTCAAGATTCAATTTAGGTTTTTGCAATTTGGGAATTTTTTCTTCAATTTAGGTTTTAAGATCAGTTATAAGAGAAGATACATGTGTTCAGACAATTTTGTCCCTGTTTTAGAGATTGAAAAGACAGAAAAGCCCCTGAGAATGGCCACCGGTGACCGAAAACAGGTGAAGTACAACATTTCACGAAGTTTTGCCTGGTTAAGTGTCACAAAATGAAGTTTGGGGGGAAAGTGTAAAAAAGCGCATAGTTTGGTAGGCAAAGTGTAATTTTTCCCTTTGAGTTAAATATCAATTGTTTGGGCCTCTTATATTCATAGTTGCTGTAAACTTTTGGGCTTCCAAGTCATATTAACAGCTACGTAGACCTACAGATAGACTTAAAAAAAGCCCAATGACATCTTATCTGTTAAACCCTTCTATGAAGAAAAGCCCTCGCAGGCTACTCGTATCTCACTCTCACCTGAGTTTGCCATCCATTTTCCATCCACCATCGACCAGATGTTGAAGTGGTGGCGCGCGGCCAATGGCGCACGCAAATCTTCGGCGGTGACGCCGACTCGCCACAACTATCACACGATTCAAGCCGTTCCCCGGGAGATCTCCGGCCACCGTGTCGCCGTCCTCGAACGAGCTCATGGTCGGATTCCAGCCGTCGTATTTTCCCAAAGCTATGTCCAGAGAAACCCTAACGACCCGACTTCAATCGTCGCCACCACCTCGGTTTCTCAGAAACTGCTTCTCAGTACCGAACGGAAGCAAATTAAGGCCATCCTCAAGGATGTAAAGCTCCCGTTCTTCTGCTCCACTACCTTCCCCCTTCAGATCCGGGCCGGTTCGGGCTCATCTACTATACTTGACACCAAAAAGGTTCTTCCGATCAAGGTAATTGTGTTTCTTCGTTGTGTTATTAACGTGCTTTGATTCTTCGAATTGCAATGGGACTTGAATGATGCGATTTTTTCAAATTTTAATTTTTTTATCTCTAATTTTTGTTCTATAGCTTCTCTAGGTCTGTGCCAGACACTATCGGAGTGCATTTGTGTAACTCTGTTTGATGATGTTTTTTTATTCTTCTTCTTCTTCCTATTTGTTTGGGAGTATAGATACATAGAGATGAAGAAGGGAATATATTGAACATCGTGTTCGTATGGGCAGAAGATGGCACTGAGCTGATGGTGGACGTCCCCATTCTTTTCAAGGGAGAAGATGTCTGTCCTGGTCTCAAGAAAGGTAGGTCTTCTGTTCAGAGATAACTCTTATTTTCCTTTTGGAAATTGTAAATATGAAGAATTCAATCGTGCCGTTTGCGAAAGTTGTTACGGTGCGGCATATGCTAAGGGTGTGATTGGTTGGAGTGATAAGGAGTGATATCACAAAATTTTCTAATATTTCCTGCCTATTATAGTGTTTGGTTCAAATATATAAGCCCTTGAATTAGGCAAAAGCCCGGTTTTTTATCACACCTTTTACTTATATCTTATCCCACCTCCTACATGGGTTATGTAATAACTTATGTTTTTTCTTCAAAATTTCCGTAAATACCCCAACTTTTTTTTTTGTTCGTTTTTTTCGTTTAATTGGGGGGGTGTTTTCTTCCTCAAGTGACGACGAAGATGGGGGAGTTCTGGGTGGCGAATCCAAAAGGCAACGACTAGTCGAGGAGGTGCGCGAGGGTCTCGTGTCTGCTGGAGATCCGTCCGCCGCCTGGTCTGGGTTCGATTAAGGTGGAGTTCGACAACGGCGGAGATTATAAAAGTGAAAAAAAATTAACAGGTCGCTGAAAACAGAGATGGAGTCGAGGAATAGAAGATGAAAACACAGTTGTTTTGTTATTTCCTTTTCTAATTTTTCGTCCAATTTATCTGCTTTCTCCAGAAATTATGTTGAAGAAACCCTTAATTAATTCATTTGATACAAATTTGTTGGTTCAATTTTTTTTTTTTTTTTTTTTTTTTTTTGTGAGTGATCCATTCTCCTTCACCTTCACGCGAATAAATCAGAATTACTTGACCCATTCTCCTTCATCTTCACGAAGCTATAATTTTTAGTTCACAAGTATTTTATCAAAGAATTGTGATTTTGGGCTACCGAAAAAAAAAAAAAATTGTGATTTTGTATGTTGAATTTACTGCTATTTTTTGGATTTGGAATTGGAACTTGGAAATTACAATTTGCAAATTCAATTGTAAATGAAGGATAGAAATGTAATTGTATCTATTTAATGATTATAATGGCTTTTCAACCAAAGCCATATTTAATCACATGAATAAAGCATTTAATAGAAAAGGGAAATAATCAAGCTTAATCAATCACCCCAACCAATTGGGCTTGATTATTTGGGGTGATTGGCCGATCTGGGAAGACAGGTGACCGAGCTCTCCATTCCTTGGTTCAGGAGCGGATGAAGCAGGAGCTTCTTCTTGTCTCACCTCCTTGCTCTCTTTCATTCCTTCT